AAATACATCCTAGCAAAACCTCTGAACTGCTCACTGAGAACATTTGTTCTCTTTTGAGAAAGATGCAAACCATCTTTTTTTGTACAGTTTATTTCCATTCTAAACAGGGCTACCATGAGAAATAAAGCCAAATCCTTGCTCCCGACACCATTCACCAAGCCACAAGTTAAAGTGCCTAATACGGATCCACCTGTCGTTCTGAGTGTAATGCACAGGTAGAACTTCAGAGAATGACAGTATGGAAGCAACCTGCCGTATATCATTGGCAAAAACACTAAAAACTTCCTTTACCTCTGAAACCTCATTGCAAGCCAAGTCATTTGTCCCTAGATGGACAAGTACATCCAATTCCCCTTCCTGCTTTGCTCGCTTAACAATATTACAAATACGTCTTCTGTCTCTGTGAGCAATAGCTCCGGGAAGACATCTCACAAGACCACCATTGTCCATCTCCACACCTCTTATGATAGAATCCCCCAACAACAACTGCTTTCTATTAAGCCTCACCATAGCCTGTCTCCACAACACCACTACACTTGGTGCCTGAGCCTGTCTCCACAACACCACTACACTTGGTACCTGAGCCTGTCTCCACAAAACCACTACCCTCAGTGCCTGAGCCTGTCTCCACAACACCACTACCCTCACCTTCTGATTAATGTAAAGTCTTGTGATGAATATAATTAAAATTGTCAAATTGCAAAAAATAAAACCCATAATATATCAGTTTAAAAGAACACTGGGAAATGATTCTAACCCTTTTTAGCAGAGTAACTCTCATGAACAATTAACTAAAGGAGATATATTATCTCAAGAGGTGAAGGACACGTATAATCGAAGTCAGTTAACATTATACCCATCCCTAAGGCTTGGATATAAGGTCTTGATCAGAGGCAAACTTCAATAAGGTACTCATTTTGGGGACTTAGGGGATCTTGGTGACCCATTGCCTGTTTGATGTCATTTTGTAGACATTTGTGATGGAGAAGGAGGATTTTAAGATTGATGATCTGTCAATGAAACAGGAATGTCAAATTGTCGTAGTAGTTTGATTTAACCTTTTGGTGTATGTATTACAGCTGTCGTCCCATTTCTCATTACTAGTAGTTTTGCCAAAAAGCCCCAGTGGTAGAGAACTTTATGTTCTCGAAGGGCTGACATGATTTGCAATAATTTGCATTTTAATTGAATAATAAATACAGGCAAGTCAGCAAAAAACGTATGATTCCGTTGGGGTATAAATAGGTGTCATTGCATCTCTGACTATCAATTATTTTACATTATAAAAATGTATTATTGCTATGACATCCCTTGGTGTGGTTTTAGGAAGTCTGGAGGCTCTTAAAAGCAGTGGGATCTATCTAACAGCACTGAATGATCTCCAGTAGAAGAGCTGTGAGGAACTTTTACTGTGCAAAGACCTGCACAGTACTGTCTTCCAAAATTCTACTAATTCGCAGATTATTGCTCCGTGAATGATCCTCTAAGTCACTTAATTTGAGTTTTATGGATTTGACTTCCTTTCTGAGTGCTTCATATCTGTCTGTGAGGTCATTATGGGGCTCTATAACCTCATCCAACATTTCCTCTAGCACATGAGTTCTCAGTGATTGTATGTCAGCTTTGATGTAATCTCCAAATTCCCTAAGTAGAATTTTAAACTCGTAGTGTGATCTGTATTTACCACTGTTCCTGGTGTGGATGGGCATGAAGATAGGCCTGCTTCCTCTTTTACAAGTCTGTCCGCCATCTTGGATCTAGCCTTCACCAATGGCAGCTTTGCTTACTGCGCCATCAAGGACTCCCAAGGTATACAATAACTGCACATTGTCCCTGAAGCTTGATAACAAACTAATGAATGGCAGCAAATAAAAAACTAGACTTGAAATGTTAATTTATTCGTACAATTGTTGAATTTGTAGTTTGCATCCGTTCATGCACGAAATCATCAAAAATGGCCATTTTTGGTCATTATAACATTTGCCTGAAAATGAATGCACATGCCTATTTACTAGGTTCCAAACCTACACAAACTATGCATGTACTGTGCAGTTCAACCTGGAGTTGTACTTTAAAGATTTTTTTCTATGTCTTGCATAATTCAGCTTCAGCTATTGGTTTCATGCTGGGTTCAGTACCATTAACAACATCTTACTGCATGTTTTTGTGTATTATTCTAATGTTTTCATTTATTTATGAACAGGGTGGATAAAAGGATGTTACATAATTTAAGTCATAACATAACTTAGCTTTCTAGTTTACTTTTAAAACATATCATCATTTGACCTATATAATGTAATATGGTTTACAAGGAAATTATATTGCTAGATTACCTGCCATTTTTATAATACTATATCTTCTCAAAATGGATTCATTAAATATGACGTGGTTGAAAATAATAGGTATGCATAAGAACATTCATCTCCTCTAGAGTAGTCTGGTGGACCCAGCTACTACTGTAGAGTGTGTTTTAATTGCTGTGAATAGTAGCATATGGAAGCTGTAGTTGGTAACTAGATTAGATACTTAACAGGATACCTCAGAATCAGGTTTGGTTGTTATTCCCTATTTTACAAGTAATATTCCTTATTAATTTAAGGGGACAATTATTTAATTAGTGTAGTTGACTAGGAACTCTACAAATATAAGCAATTAATTAACTGGCTGGCAACTCCATTTCTGGCTGTTATATCAGAAAGTCTTGCAATTATAATTTGGTAGGTCAAATAGCAATAGTTTTAGTAGTTTCAGGATGACAAGGCAGAGAGCCCACCCCTATACCAGGCATGAAAGGCTAGGGTATCAAAGTGTAAGATATATAATATGTATATAATTTAGAACTGGGAAACTCAGGTTTGAAAGCCACCTTAATAGTAAGTGTCTTTGGCCAAGACACCTAACAACATACAGTTGTAATCCAAATTATTCAACTCCAATTGAAAATCAGGTTTATTGTCAAAAATTACAGACTTTCAGCTGTATAAATGAACAAATCAAACAAAAGCAGTTTAAATAGCTTAACACAATGAATGATTCATGTGGTTTTCCCAAATACAACTGAAAATGCAACTTATAGTGACTTCTCCAGTCTCAAAATTATTCAACTTCCTGAATAAAATTCCCTGAAAACAGCATAAATATGAAAAACAGATGTCCCAAGCATACCTAATGCAAATAATCAAGGGCTTCATTAGTTGCATCAGGTGTGCATGAGCTGGAACACTTGAAATACCTGAACTGGCTGAAGGTTTGTTGAGTGTCACATTTGACTGCATGTTAGAAATATGGCTAAGTCAAAAGAATGGTTCACAAAGTTAAGAAAAGAGATCATCACCCTTCACAAATAAGGAACAGGATACAAAAAGATAGCGAAGGCACTAAATATTCCTAGAGACACCATTGGACCATAGTTCACAAGTTTAAAGTTGAAGGAACAGTGGTTAAACTATCTGGAAGGGGCAGAAAAAGGAAGCTATCATTGGCTTCAACCATATTTCTGAGAAGGCAGGTTGTAAAAAACCCTTAAGTGACTGCAAAAGGCCTGCAGCAAGGCTTGGTGGCAACAGGCACTGAGGTTTCAGTGAGCACAGTAAGTCGTGTACTAAACACAGAAAGTTTCCATGCCAGAACTCCAAGACATACACCACTACCGTCCCAAAGTACAAGAAAAGTTAGCTCCAATATGCTCAAAATTATATTAATAAGCCTCAGAAGTTTTGGGATTCTGTTCTGTGGAGCGATGAAACATAACAAGAACTTTTCAGTCCAATGGGTCAGCGGTATTTCTGGAGGAAGAAGAATGAAGCATATGCTGCAAAGTACACTCTGCCTACAGTTAAACATTATGGTGGCTCGGAGATGTTCTGAGGATGCTTTGCATCCCCTGACACTAGAAACCTACAGCGTGTGAAAGTAGAGACGTAGCTAGAAACCACCGGGCCCCAGTGCAAAAATTGTTCTGGGCCCCCCACATGTGTTTCACTCCTTACCCCAGCTCCTCCTTATTCTCCCCAGCCCTCCACTATGTGTCTCATTTCCTTCTTCCTCCCCTCCATGTGTCTCATTTCCCCCAGCCTCTACATGGGCCTCTGTCCCTCCCCTCAGCCCCTCCATGAGTCTCATTCTCTCCCCCTCAGCTCCTCCATGTGTCTCATTCCCTGGCTTCGCAATTTGTTTCATTCTCCCACACACCCAATTTTGCCTCATTCCCTCTCACCCCCTCTCCAGCCTTCATTCCCTCTAACACACCACATCCAGCCCTCATTAACCTGCCTCACTCCCCATTCAGCCCTCATTTACCGCCCTCACCCACATCCAGCCCGGTCGCAGTGGCATTGCAGTCAGGTTAGGTGAGAGGTTTCGATATGGAGTCCGAGCATTATATACAATCCCCAATTCTCTACGATGATAGCTCTACAGGAAGAAAATCATCTGGGTCATACAAGGGAAGTTGCTCTAAAGGATCCTTTGTGAGGCATATGATAAAAGAGCCTTGCAAAAGTAAAGTCTATGCACAGACTGTCTGAAAGTGGCTACAGGCCTGTCTACCCCTGTGCCGTATATTATGCAGTATTAAACAGAAGGTATCTCAAGATGCCATAGAAGCTGTTAAAGCTCGGATGCTCTGGACAATTCCCAGAATGAATACTCTGAGGAATCCTTAGAGATGGATACTTTCAAAGATATGGAATCATCGGATGAGGGTATTCAGCCTATTTCAGTAGTTCCAGAACCTGCTTATGTTGACCATTTAATTTCCAGAGTCCGCAGGTCCTTATGCCTGAAAGAATCTTCTAAGGTTGAGCCCTTTACCTCTAGCCTTTCTTTTCAGATGTCAGATGCAGAGCATCTTTTCCAGTTCCCGGTACCCTTAAGATCCTTAATGGAGGAATGGTTCTACACTGAGAGAAGTTTTCAACACAAAGAAGTATCTCAGTTTTCATCCATTGGGATTTCAGACACTAGTACCTGGGACTCTGCTCCTAAGTAGACGATGCAGTACTTAGACTGGCTAAATGTTCCACTTTGCCTGTAAACTATGCAGGATTTCTCTGAGACTCCATGGACTATAGATGGTCTTGATCCTCTCTAAAGCATATGTGGAAACTGGCACAGGCTTTCATCTTGCTGTAAGCTTACCTCAATCCCTTAGGATCTAAGATTGGTATAGATAATTTGGAGGAGTATATCCAAGATAATTTTCCTTTGTCTGTTGACAATTCAAGTCATTAAGCAGGAAATAGTCTTCAGCTAAGAAGCCTACGTAGGTTGCATTGTATTCTAGCCAGAAATATGACTTTCTCTGTGTCTTCTAGCTGGGCACTTTGGCTTAGTACCTGGTCCGCGGATGCATCCTCCTAAATGAATAGATCAGGAATACGGCAGAGGGCAGTAAAGCTTATCTTCTTCAAAACCTAAGTTTTAAGAGACCCTTTTAATCCAAGGACTATCATTAATGTCCTTCCTGGACCAAGATATTTCACACTAGGAAGAGGGTGTGA